AGGTTCCAGCCTGAGTTGGCGTACTCCTAACAGGAGAAGAAACAAAGTGCTTTCTTTCACTTCAGGGCAGATGTCATGGTTTCACTTAATGTAACATTAAGTAAAAAAAAAAAAAGAAAAAAAGCTTTAAGGGGATCTGTGAGATGGAAGTCTGATGAATAAATGACCCAGGCAATGCCTTTAGGACCCAGGGAATCCCCCTCAAAAAAGTACTTTGCTGGTTATTAACCTCTGATAGAAAGTTCAAGAAAATCAACACTTGGAAGAGTTTATGGAAATATAACGTAACGATCTTCTCACCTCCTCATCTCCCAGCAGCCTTCTTTTACCGTCCCTGACAGGAAAGCCGCTGCCCACTTCCTTGGAGCTGATGTCAGCGCCGTACTCCACGATGACATCCTCCTCGATGCTGCTGACCAGGCGCCAGAACTCCTTCTCCACCAACTCCGTGGGGACCATCTGGAGGCACAAGGGCGGAAATAATGAAATCCCCTGCTGTGAGCAACACATTGAACCTCTAATTGTTAACGCAGAACGTGTGACAGCCAGACGACGGAAGAACAGCGACGTAACGGCACACATACACATACTCTTAGCTCGCCGAGTGGATTTTACATACGTGAACGGGCATGTTGAAGTAGTCAGACTTGAAGTGGTCGGCCATTTCTCCGAAGCTCTGCAGACTGTACTCCCTCACTGCCTGCTCAAAGCCAAATGCCTCCCTGGGTTTACTGCACTCCTGTGAGGGAAGAATCATTATAATAGAAATTTACATCATGTGCGTTATGCATATACGAGGGCTCAATATGTAATTCATTTTTGATTGGCCAGACAGCGCTCACGCCTCACCTCAGCGACACACTTAGGGCAGCGCCAGTCCCCCTTGGGAACGTCCTGTAGCGGCGGGATAAGGCAGAAGGTGTGGTAGCTGTCGTCACAGCCATCGCACAGCAGGAGCCGGTCCTCCTCATCGCCCCGGCCGCACACCAGGCAAAGGTAGAGGTCGATCTGGGGGGGGGGGGAAATCGCCACAGAACATACAGAGGTGGTCACGTCCAGAGGTTCCTCACAGATATAATAAACATCAACCACCAGGAAATGAACTGGCACTCACAAAGTTGACCTCCAGGGTCTCCTTGCGTGGTCTCATTTTAATGGCGAAGGCCTGGGCTTTGAGGTGACGCTGCTTCTTGTTGAATCTGTCATCTAAAAAGGGGGAAAGCGGCGGCGTGATGATAGAAACACTCGGTGTCAGCCGTGTGTAAAAACACAAGTCAACCAAAAATGATACTTACCAGCTGATACAATCTCCAAGCCAACCATCTTGGGATTTGTACTGAAGATCTTTAGGCCTTTTGGCTCCTTGTTTTCCCTCTGGAGAAACACAACAACAGCAGACGGTGAAACAAAGTGATCGTGCTAAAAGGTCAAATGTCAAGACGGCCTCTGGGGAGCAAGCCTGCACAGCTGAGAAAGGGATGCTTAACTCAACGGCCTGAATGTTAAAGGAATAAATAACACTCTATGTAAATGATATCTAACCAAAAATGTTATTACAAATAACTAACAGCTTATTACACTTTTGAGATCAGTTTGGCAAAACATTTATGTGGTGTGTCTACATATATTACAAAAGTCTTTCCCCCCCGTTTACCTCAGACTTAAGGCGCCTGGAGCGTCTCTCAGGCAGAAGCCGCTCTTTAGTCTGCATCCCATCACCCTCGCCATCTTTTTCCTCCTCCTCATCTAGCTCATCTTCCTCCTCTGCGTCCTCACCGACTCCCTCATCCACCTCTTCTTCATCGTCGTCTCCTTCCTCGTATAGCCGCTGGATGCCCTGGTTGGAGAAAGGAGCGGAGTGAAAACAAGTTGGGTTTTCGAAAGCATTTTTAAAAAAAATCGGTCCTTGGAAGGTTTTAGCATTACTGTGACATTATGTGTATGATTTGGTGAATATGCCAAAGTATAATACAATTCTAGACTGAATATTCAGAGGGACACTGAGCCAAAAAAAAAAGTGCTCAATAAAAATAAAACAAGGGAATATAATCCCCCACACAGACTGTGTTAGCTTCTGTTAAATGAGCAGCACTCACAGTCAGCGTGGCCCCAGACTGGAAGAGTTCATATGGGTAGAGGATCCTCTCATAGTGGGAGCGCAGCAGTGAGCCGGTGCCTTTCCCCGCTGGGAAGCCCATCCTGCCGGCCACCTTGGACCACCTCTTCTCCTTACACGCAGTCTCAAAACCGCCCTCTGAGGAGACGATCTGAAAACACACAGGTGTCCAGGTGAGCATTTTTACTAACGTTAAGGACAAAAGCAACACTTAGATTAACAGCCAAGTGCAAAACCAAAAGTTAAAAGACACAGGAAATGGGCGAAAAAAAGAAGGAAAGGAAAAGAAATTGATCTAATTTTACCTTGCTGAGCTGATAGAGGTCCAGCACTTTTCTCTCCACGTGAGGAAATCGGGTCTTGGATCCCTGCAGCTCCCAGAACTTTGCGATTTGATCCAGAAAGTTGAGCTTAACCCGAGTGAGGGCCTGGACAGACAGGAGAGAGAGCACAGAGGACTCTAAATGCAGCCCAATGTTCTGCTCTCACAAACACTGGACACCTCGGGCACAATGACATTTGAATGGCTGCACACGGAGACACGACCATACCGTGAAAACCTGTCCTGCTGCACTTGCACTACACTCTTCATATGTTAAATAACATAAAAAAGGAATAGAAGGCTTGAAAAAAAAAAAAACGACACGTCACAACAGGTGCAAGACAGAAGACACTGTAGGTGGAGTCTGCGTAGTTCTATCCAAGGTGTATGTAGCATAATGAGTTAAAATAATACCAAACACATGTCGTTCTGAATGATATTCATGAAGCAGCGCTGGGCGACATGCCTTCACTCAAGTATTATTGTGATGCAACTTCTTAGCAAACTCACCTCAAGCTCATTCAGTCTTTGTACTCGAGGAGTGAAGTGGAAGTTGCGTACATCACAGGCAAAGGGAGGCTGCCAGTCCTGATAGACAAGAAAATAAGAGAACTCATCCTCAATCAATGAGGAAACGACACAGTAATCACAGTCAAAGTGCAGTTTTCAGCCTGTTTTTACAGGAACACATCTGCATAAATAATGACCACTCAAAGCTATTATTTTCTATGTGTAATTACGTCTGTCCTGAAAGAGTATCGGTGCTTTGCTGGCCACATAAGACACACCGTAAGATTTAAAAAGGTCCTAAAAAATGTAAATGCACTCGAGTGATTGCTCGTGATTAGATAGAACTACAGTATACATGTTGGTTTATATTGTGACAGGAGCCACGGGCCCAATGTCGCATCTTCGCAGCGAACAATAACAATCACTGTGCTGTAACTTAAGCTAGCGATGAAGAAAACAAAACAAAGGAATTGTGACCGAAAACTGTTTCATCTATTTCGCCTGTACAAAAAATTCTGGGTAATACAGAAAAAAAACAAAGTTTACCGAAGTACCAAATGTGTGCTGTTGAGTGTAATCCGTATTTGACCTCTAATGGGAACTATTAACGTCGCTGCCTATCGCACAATCCACGCAGGCCCTGCTCTATCTACGCAGGAGCACTACAGGCAAACCATCGAAGACTTTGGTTCCATGTTTGTTTCAAAAATAAGATGAGACTTTACCTCGGGGGGTCGGATCTTGCAGATGCCCGTTTTCTCCGCAATGGGTCGGATCTTGTTGATGTATCCTAAAGGATCCGAGAAATCCTCCCAACTCGGCTCAAAAACCGGGCATTCTGGAGGGGGGACGAACTCAGCAAATGCCGACATGTTGGTGTGGTGCCAGTGAAACACACTTTTACAAAAAAAATAGTTTTTGATAAAATGCACCCAGTTGAGCTCAACAGTCCATGATTATTTCCAATAATTTTCGTCTTGGGGAACTTCCTCCGTGTCCATCGTGATCCTTCAAATATCTCGAATAACTATTCACTTCAATGACATGGCATCCCAGTCGCGAGTCATAATCTGGTTCGAATGTGATTGCATAAATAAAACAACAGAGCTGCTAATGATCAATGTCTTGCCATCATCCGTAAACAGCGGGCCGGGGACAAGCCAGGCCAGGGTTAGGGTTGTCTTCACCACCACTCCCCTACCTGTGACGGAGGGCAGGGTTAGTCAGAAACGCCATCGTTCCGCAAACGACAACTCCACAAAATCAGGACTTGGGCCAGGGGCGATCACAGGATTCTCAAATAAGCATTGGAAACAAAAACACCCCGGCTCTGTCGTTAGAATGCTGGCTACGATATTACGTTACGCAAGCTAGCATTCCTACGTCTGTGTACCTGTGTAATGCATGGTTTCTTCGTGGTGATGCATTCCCAACAAAGTTATCCACGGTTGGATTAGTCCCGTGGTTAGCTGGTAGTGTTTATTAGCTAACGTAATCACACTCGCTCTCCGGGCTTAACGTCCACTTCTTTGAGCATCTGGTAGCTAGAACCAGCCGAGCTGGACCACAACAAGGAGGAGTCTAAGTAGCAAGCGTACATTGTTTACTGATGCCTTCTGTCCGTGCGACAACCCTCATTCATTGAAGCCTTTGAAGCAATGAAAAACTAGCATACAGCTAGCTAATTTGGCTAAAATCAGCTTAGCTGCCGCTGCTCATTGCGCAGCTAACATTGACGTTAGCTGAGAAAGTCCGCTGGGCAGGACAGTCTGCCATGGCTTCAGTAGGTTAATCGGAATCACATAGAAAAAAGGCTATAATCCTTTTGCTTTGTTCTGCCGGGTGTCTCTTTCCGTATAATATAACGTCGTCTATGGGTGTTGTATCCGCATTAGCCAACGTGCTAGCTACAGGTAGCAAGGTTGGATAGCTATTATGGTGCCTTCACAAACACTCGGAAACTTTTTACTACTTCCGAGTTCGCAGGTTGAATAAAAGGCAGTGTAAACAATGGCTTTCTGTTCATAATCAAGGACACACCTGGTCGCATTTCTTGTTACAAGCTTACATGGTACGCCTACTATCTAGATGTCAGACATTGAGCAACTGTTTACCTTTTTAAAAATATGTTGACAGCCCTTTGTACCACTTTACCAGACACTTCAATGGGCATAACTGGAATATTTCCTACGGCACCTGAAGGCAGCATTAGTTTTATAGGGGGATCTCTTTTCACAGTAACGACGGGAAAAAAGTTACATTACAGCCGAATATATGATCTAACTTACTATTTAATGCTCAATCTAAAATGTCACATTCATAAACAGCCGTTGTTGCAACAATACAACAACAATGAGCGATTGCGGTTTCTTGAACAGCGTACAAACGGCAGGAGCCATCCTCCACTTCAGTCTTTAAATCAGTCACAAAGGCTTGGAATGAAAATAGAAAACAATATGGTCTTTATTTATTAAAATCGATTTCATGAAATACATGATCAGAATTATTTTAAATTAAATACACAGAATTTAAAAGCATGCAACAAAATGAACAAACCAGCTTATTTGATCAAATTTAATTGAAGTCTTGACATCTATGGTATCTAGTAGTCATCGTGAAATGGATACTCTGGGTGATCAGACCACCTGTTGAGTCAATAAAAGATAAATACTATGCATCTGTTTATTACAGGAACATAAACATAACTCACAGTATGCATACTCACATGAGAAGCTCCACAAAACGAATATTCTTGTTCAATCCCTCAATTGCCTTCATCTCAGCATCAGAAAGAGAGAAGTCGAATATCTGCAGTGTTAACAACAACACATTTGATACATTTCCTGTTTTTCTAAAGGATCAGGCTCTCCCAGCATGCTGAATGTTTGTCTAAACCGGTGCAAGACAAACAAACCTGAAAGTTGTCCTCAATGCGAGCAGGGTTGAAGCTCTTTGGGATGACTACCACTCCTCGCTGCACATTGAACCTCAACGCCACCTGGGCTGTGTTCTTGTTGTGCTTTTTAGCAATCGATGTCAGTAGCTCGTCTTCCAACAGTGGGGGGCATTTTAGGTTTACCCTGTTGGAACGATTGGCATTTTATGATGATGCAAATAACATTTTCATTAAATGCTACCTTTGTAAGTTCATGATCATATGGTCATATCCTTGAACCAATGACTTTTATAAGTTACACATTAACTGAATGTGATAAGTGCATTTCTCTCCCATACCACGATGCATCTCTAGATGTCCCCAACGGGCTGTATCCCACAATGACAATATCCTTCTGCTGGCAGTACTCAAGCAACTTTGGCTGAGTGAAATAGGGATGGCATTCAACCTGTATTAAAAAAAAAGGGAAAAAACACAAATAGTTTTTGTCAGTTGCTGAAGAAAGACTAAATTCTTCATGTGAGTGTTAGTCAGTGTTTATTTGCCAAGCAAGTCTTCTTAGGACGTAGCTACAGTTTTATATTCTATTTGTTTAGAAAAATAATAAGTCACTGACTTCGGGCATTTTCTTGTGTTTGTCTGACGTTTCTTTTCTTTCTTTAATCCAAAATTGAATATATTTATTTGATTTGCCTCATCTCCAGAACATAGTGTGCTATTATCCGGTCTCTCTACCTGGTTTGACACAGGCTTGTGTTCCAGCCCAGGTTTGTTTAGGATCAGCTCCAGTTGTCTCTTGTTAAAGTTGGATACTCCGAGAGACTTTATCAGCCCAGCATCTTTGCAAGCCTCCAAAGCCTGTCCACAACATAACAAAAAGAGCACAGTCATAAAGCAACAAATTCGACTTTGAACAGAAATGTTTTTTGGGCACACACCACAGGAAAGTGACCGTCAGCACATTTCTATTCTCTTTATTGACCCCAGGAGTCTGTGGTTGTGAATAAATGGATTTGTAGACTTGAGCCGAGACAAAAGGCAGAGATTTTCATTTTTTAATTATCAAATTATAGTCAGTTTTCTCCTTAACCCATAAGAACCCAAACCAGTTTTTCCTTAAATGAAAATTATAGGGGATATAACACAGAATAAATGAACCACATGGAACGCGTTTTTGAAAATATTTTCTCAATACTACCCCCTAGACTAGAGGCAAATATCTGAAATGTTACATATATGTCACAATGGTGTTTAGTGTAAATGTATTCCTCATTTGAAAATCAATTAACATGGCTTTTGATTGGCAAAAAACCTTTTTCAGATTTTTTTTTAAAAAGACAAAAATGTCTCCTTGGATGATCTTCAGTGCATCCTGAAATGAAAGTGCATCGTTCATTCTAATCCTTACTGCAAAAAAAATATGAAATTACTTTTAACTAGGACCAAAATAGGATCGTTAAATATAGTTTGTTTGTGTGTTTTATTTACTGATATGCAAAAATTCTTGACTAATAATTTAATCAATTTGACAATATTTTGTATTTATATAAATGTCTTTAACAGAATATGTTTTAATTAAAAATGAGTGAATCAGCTAAATCAATTGAGCAACTCATTCATCATTTTTTTATTGTGACAAATGCATCACATTGGTTTTTCTGAGACAATTATAAATTTAAAAGCCTGATGTGACCTATATCTTTCACAACAATATTTTGATAACCTTTTAGATATAAATTTGTTTGTGAAATATGGTTACAACAGTTTAGATGTAATGTAAGACATCAAAAGCAGCATTGTTAAATGTGTTGAGATTTACCTTTAGCACAAAAACAATCTTTATGAAATTAGCTAGTTCTGCCAAATGTGCTGACCAGCCAGGCTGCTATTTTGGAAGTGATGTCATTGGTACGCAAATCATCATTTAACCTCAGCAGGATGTTCAGTAAGTCACTTAGGGACTTCAAGAGTTAAAATCGAGGATAAAACCGAATGAGGAACTTGGATATTTAAAGTGACTACTGTGTCACTGTGGGTTCTTATGAATTCCAAAAAAGTCTCACCTCCCATGTTGCACAGAGATCTGTCTCGTGATAAATGAACTTCCCATTCTCATCTTTGGGGTAAAATGTATCTCCTGGCTTCAGAAAATAAAAATATTCAGTGAGGAGAAATGATTTGGACTATAATTTACAGCAATGAGTATCAATAAAATGTAATAAAGAAGAATAAATTACATACACACATACCTTAAAGGCTGTGGGCATCTCTACAATGTAGAGGTCGACATAATCCAGCTGTAATGTCTTCAAAGTTTTCTCCAAAGCAGGTAGAACCAATTCTGGGGAATGGAATGTGTTCCACAACTGCATAATCAGTGCAGACGGAAAATGTATTAGTTGTTGTAAACGTGTTGCAGGCAAAAGCTACACTTTTCAGAAGCTTGCACAAAAAAAAGCAAACTTTTGCAAACCTTCCCACAGTAGAAGATGTCCTCTCTCTTCACAGTTCCATCTGCAATTTTGTCCCTTATAGCTTGTCCCACCTCATGTTCATTGAAATACACCAAAGCCCCATCAAGGTGTCTGTACCCTATGTCAATTGCCAATTTGACTGATTCGTATGCAGTTCCTTTAGGGGTCTATCAACAACAACAAAAAATTTCATGAGTGAATATCTTAGAATATCACTCAGATTGAAAAGTGATTTTGATATTGTGACTGACATGCAAGTTATTAAGTAATCTGGTTAAATAACGTGTTTTACCGTGCGGGGATCCCCGTAAGTTCCGAGTCCAATTAAAGGTATGCTGTTTCCGTCACTCAGAGGAATGGAGTGACTCACAGCTGTCAAGTCCATGCTCTTCAAAGTGTGAGTCGTCTAAGGCAAACTTCCCCAGTGCTGCTATTTGTATGTTAATTCAAACAGCTGCGATTAGATATGCCGAATTGCACACATTGACACAGTTTATGCGACCTGTTTTGCTGCTCTTTGACCACAGCAAAGACTCCTCCCAAATACAAAGAGCATTCTCCCTTTAGAATCCTCCCACCTTAACTACAGTGGTCAACTCAGCAGACACTTCAATTGTAGTGCACCTGTACGCTGAAACTTACGAAACGCAACCAAACGGCACGGATCGAGAGCGAGCGAAGAACTTTGCAAAGTTAGCGAAAGATTAACGTGAGACAACTTTCGGTTTTCTACAGACGAACATCCGGTTTTCAGATTAAGATGCCAACAAAGTATACATATTGCATAATGAAATTAGATTAAATGAATTATATTCACATTAAGTAGAAAACATGCTACCTGCATCTCCTGAGTTAAAGGGAAAATACACCTAAATTGTGCGTAAAGTGTATTTATTCTTTGATTTGAGGGTTGCTGGAAATTAATAATACCTGACTGACAGTCAATTAAGATGTTTTACGAAGCAAAAACTCTGAACTGAATTTATATCTTCAAATGGCAAATTTCTGAAGTTTTTAAGGTGCTATGAAATGTTTTTCTCAATAATTCCCCACAATGACTAATGCATATATGTTCAGGACAAAAAAAGGCTAATATCACAATATTTGAGCTGCTACAAAAATATTTTTCTCAATAATTCCATACAATGACTGATGTATATGTAATCAAGGCATCGTTGACTCCACCCATAGAGAAAATAAGACATTTTGACTGTA